TGAAGCTGTTGGTCGATCCACGTCAGGAAAGCAGGGCAATGTTTCTGCCTCCGGTGCTGGATCAAAGGACACGGTCCAATTAGATGCAAGCTCTACCAGTCCTACCTTGGTGAGACCTTTGATGACACCGGTGCCATTTGTTTGCTGGGTGCATCAGTTTCTACGCCAGCTCCTTGCCTCTCGGACTCGGTTTTCGTATTTTGTTATACAGACAATTTCAGCCAGCCGCGATGGTCGTGATGACAGCATCGCAACCGCCTTGTTCCCCATCCCTCTGCCCTTCGTAGGCATTTTTGGCGATGGCCCGGATTTGAGCAGCAAGAAGAAGCGCCATTTGCATGCTGTGAGGAAGCTCTTGCACCTCACTGTCATGACTTTGAACTATGAGCACTTCCGGCAACCAATGTCCATTCTACGGCTCATCCGGAGACGTCCAGGTGCTCATCATCGGGCAGTTTATGCTCGCATCTTGACGTTTTTCGAGGCGTGCGGCCCACCAGCATTCATTTCTCTTGCTGGTTGTGGACGGAAGAAGTTTCAATTAGATGCACGTTTGAGAGAGTTGAGAGAAAGTTTGGATGCGCTGGGGCTAAGTTCAGCATCTTTGTATCACAGAGGAGCAGCTGGGGTGGTAGTGCCCGAGGACAACACTCTCTGTGATGAGCTTCGCCCCTACAGAGCACTTGATGCCTCCCGGATCAAGCTAACCGGCAGAGGCAATTGGGACTGTTCGGATTTCCTGTCCGACCTTCTCTACATGCCCTTCGTGGAACCGGATGTGATCAGGTTTGACATTGTTCCACCTCGAGGTGCATTTCCTGAAGTCAAGGAGGAGGAGGCCGGACAGGTTTATGATCTTTGCCGTGTCTGGGATGCTAATGATCTCTTACGGCTTGTCCTGCCGACCTTGGTCCTGGGAGGGGGAGCGCCATCTCCATACAAAGGTGTTTGGGAACTTCAAGAACGCAAATGTTGACCGTCAGATAGGCGACCGCCGGGGAAGAAACTACGTTGAGGGTCAACTTGAAGGAGGCCCATCTCACGAGATTCCGAATGCAACTTCCCTTCTGCAGCTTGAGACAAAGCGTTTTGAGGAGGTCCTGGTCGGGGCCATTGCAGACAGACGGGACTTCTACCACCAGTTCAGCACCACCTATGAAAGATCATCTACGAACACAGTCTTCCCTCCCTTCTCCTTGGGGGACTTCAGAGGAACTTCTGCTTATGAGGTGTTTCAGAGGGACTTCGGCACGAGGAGAGGAAGAGGTAGGGAGGAGACAGGTGACTTTCTTGGGGCTCCAAGGCCTTTGCTGGTGCCTACAGAGGATTCAAGCATGGTCTACGCCAGTTTTGGTGCCTTATTCCAAGGGGATCACATTGGAGTCGAGGTTGCTTGTTGTGCTCATGAGACAATGCTGGAGGAGTCTGGATGTCACCCGAGCTTCAATCGACTTTGTGCCTCCCAACCTATCTTGCACAATAAGCCAGTTACCGGCTTGGTCATAGATGATTTCTTTGCACTGTCAGCGGAGGAGATCGCGTATGCCCGTGGTGACACCTATGAGGGACCAAGTGCTTCTCGGGTCTTCCTTGAGCGGGCCCGCGAGGCATACAAGCGAGAAGGTATACTAGGGTCAGACGACAAGGAGATTGCTGACTCCCTGCACTACAAGGTCATTGGGGCTGAAGTAAATTCCTCAGAGAAGATGGTCAAAAGAGGTATTGTCAGCCTGGGTGCTCCTGCCGACAAGAGGTTTGGTCTGATGATGCTCAGCGCCCTTGCAGCTGGCCTACCTTACACCTCCGACTCCCTACATTCGTCCCTCCTAGGGTCTTGGATTTCCGCTCTGCTCTATCGGAGGCCGATGATGGCCCATGTCAACAGGCTCTTCTCAGTGATACCTCCGGAAGTTTTGGATCCTGAGAGGTCCTCTCTACATCCTCTGCCTCGATGCGCTGCGGAAGAGCTGCTAGTCTTAGCATGTCTGGCTCCGGTGGCCGCCTCCAACATTGCAGTGCCCTTTTCCGACACAGTCTATGCTTCTGACTCCTCATCCTTAAAAGGTGGGCTGGTTTCGGCCCCTGTTGATGAGAGGCTGTCAAGAGTTTTGTGGAGGACAGCCCCAAAGAAAGCAAAGAATCCAAAGCTTCAGACGAAGACTGCTGCTCTACATCGTATCAGAGATGTTGACTTTGAGGAGGTCGAGCAGGAGGATGATCTACAGTGGACTGAGGAGAGTGTGCCCAGGCCTGTTGGCCTCAGGTATGACTTCATTGAGTTGTGTGGAGGGGCTGGTGTCGTGACAGAGGAGCTCATCAAACTTGGAGCAGTCTGTGGGCCGGTGTTTGACATCAGCTATTCCAGGAGGTTTGACATCACAGATCGACGTGTCTTTTCTTGGGTTGCTTTTATGTGTGAAGAAGGGCGCCTTCGCTCTTTCATGGCTGCCCCCCCTTGCACTACGTTCAGTCCTGCAGCTCATCCATGCCTTCGAACCTACAAGAAGCCCTTGGGCATTGACCCAAAGCATCCTCGGGTAGTGCATGGGAATGACATGGCTTTTTCCTGCATGGGCCTGCTGATGGTTGGAAAACGAACAAAAACTCCAGCGATGATGGAGACACCTAGGAGATCAAAGCTTCGCTGGACTCCCCAATGGATCCGGCTTCGGGTCCTAGGAGCTGATGAGATACACCTCGCATCATGTGCTTATGGCTCGCCCCACCAGAAGGAGTTTGCTCTTATGGTTGTGAGTATGAATGCCAGGTCTTTGAGCAGAAGGTGTTCCCGAGACCACAGGCATGTTCGCATTGAAGGCAAGTTTACTAAGCCCAGTGCCACCTACACTCCGGGCCTCGCAACGGCTTTCGCTCGTGTTTTTGCCCGCCACATTTTGAAGGTGGAAGAAGAGATTGCTGGTCTGAAACAAGCTCCAGGCCTTGAGGATCAGTTGTCCAATGAGGTACTGCTCTCAGCTGTCTGGAGGGTATCAGCAAGTTGGTCATGGAGAGGCTCCTCCCATATCAACATCCTTGAGATGGCGGCTGCTCTCAGGGCTTTTGAAGCTGAGGCTATTAGAGGTGGAGACCTGCGCTTTGTGAGCTTCATTGACTCCAACGTGGCGCTATGCGCATTGATCAGAGGTAGAAGTGCATCTGGAGCTCTCAGAATGCTCCTGAAAAGGGCTAGCACAATCTCCGTCGCTTATGGACTTTACCATGCTGGCAGGTTTGCTCCTACTAGACTCAATCCAGCAGATCATCCTACCAGAGATGCTGCTATTCTGCCACCAATTGCTTCTTCGGTCGATACTCTTGACGAGGAGGAACTGAGGTGGTTGGCTTCTGTGCGTAGCCTTCGGAGATGGGCATCAAACTGGCTCCGTCTTTGCATCCTGCTCTGTCCTTGCTGGATTGGCTTCTTCTCAGATCATTCGTCACTCAGGCGCTATGGTCCCCTCGTTGCTTTTGACCCTCCCCTTCTCATGGATTTTGACTCGACTTTGGGTTTCCCTGGGGAGGGACCTAGACCCTACCGGTGGTTTGGTTTTCTTTGGATCCTCGCCTCAATGGACGTAGATCGGGCGGTAGGGGTGAGCCATGGTGATGCTGAGCGGCAGAGGCAGAGAGCGGGCCTCGAGCTGCCGGATGGACGAAGGTTGACTCCCCTGACCGTTTCAGTTCGGAGCCAACTCGCTGCAGTCTTCGAGGGATGGCTGCGAAATCAAGGGCTCAGTTTTGACATGATTTTCCATGCCAATCCTCCTGACCTGGACAGGATTAATGCCATTTTGACCAGGTATGGGCGCTACCTCTTCTCTGCTGGGAAGCCGTACTATCATCTGTCCGAGACCATTAATCTGGTCAGTGCTCGCCGTCCGATCCTCAGGAGGTCGCTTCAGCAAGCGTGGGATTTATGTGCTATGTGGCCCTCTTTTGAACCAGTGGAGCATCATCGGGCGATGCCGGTGCAATTGCTCTTAGCAGTTCTATCCACCTGCCTCATATGGGGCTGGACCAGGGAAGCTGCTATTTTTGCAATGTGCTGGGGTATGCTTTTGAGAAGCGGGGAGATCATCAACGCCCGCAGGAAAGATGTGATTTTTCCACAGGACGTCAGATTTTCTGTAGACCACGTCCTCATTCGCATCCTGGAGCCGAAAACCAGGTTTCGAGCAGCTCGGCATCAATCCAGCAAGCTTGAGCCTCCTGACCTGATCATGGTTGCCTGGATTGGTATTGGCAGACTACAGCCTCATGAGAAGATCTGGCCTGGATCTCCATCAACTCTGAGGCACAGGCTGGACAAAGTTCTTTTGAAGCTGGGCCTGCCGATTAAGATGACGAACCAGCAGAAACCTCTGACGCTTGCATCGTTCAGGCCCGGAGGGGCTACATACTTAATTAGCTTGACAGAATCTGCAGAAGTTGTGCGGCGCAGAGGCCGATGGGTCTCTTTGAAAGTGATGGACATTTACCTCCAGGAGGTGGCGGCAGCAACTTTCATGACAGACATCCCTGACACCTCCCGACAGTTGATTCTGACCGCGATGGAGGCCTTCACGACAGTGCTACAAGAAAGCATCAGATTCTTCAATGCCAGATTCCCTGAAAAAGTGTGGAACCTTTTATTCCAACAGCAGGCTCACGAAGTCACCTCGACCGGATCAGAGGGGCAGACGGGAGCAAAGTGCCAAAAAGGCCATGTTTCCACCACACACCAAGCCTGAGACGCTGGCTGGAAAAAGAAAGGGCGAGAACCTTGCTGGCACAATAGCAAGATGACCAACCGTCGTTTCCGCTCAAGGATCCCTCCACCACCCCTTTCACCTCCGCTTCGACCTGCTGTTGGTTGCAAGTTTTTGTGTGGGAGCAAAGGGCCAAAAAGGCCATGTTTCCACCACACACCAAGCCTGAGACGCTGGCTGGAAAAAGAAAGGGCGAGAACCTTGCTATATAGTAGCGATGCCGCAATGCCCTTGTTCCTAGGCAGAAGGAGATGATGACATAGTCGAGGAAGACACCGTGGCAGGTCACCTGAGTGGAGGCCATTCGGCCTTGAAAGTTGAATGCCTTGGATCAGGTGATGCCGACAAAGGACCCAAAATCCGTGGGCGAGGAGGTGTGTTTCTTCATCCTATGTCACATTTGGAAGGACTTTTGTGGGACGGTTTCAGATTTGTTGGATTGGGCCATTGGGCTGCTTCTCTTCAGCTTCAGGCCGAAGCAGCACTCCTCGCCTGTGTAAGTGTTTTGCACCTCAATTGTGCATGGCTTGCTGCTGCCAGGCATCATGCAGAAGATCAAAACCTCCGAGTTTCAAAGCTCCACGAAGATCGAAGCCTTGGTGCAGGAGATCAAGAAGATGGAGTCCACGGATGCCACAAGCAAGGTGCCTTTTGGATGCCTTTGTGCCATGTGGGCCATGCGCCATGCCTTCAGCCTACTTCAAGTCGGCATAACTCAGAACCCATGCCATCTTTTCGTGGCTCGTGCACACTTGGTGTATTGTTTCTACTAGCTTCTTATGCTTCTTGTTACTACTAGTAAGGCACTTGTTACTAGTAGCTTGTTCCTAGTAGCGAACCTTGTTCCTTCTTTCCTTTCGTTTTCTGATGTTTTCCGTTTGACGTCTCAGAGGCACTGGTCTTTTCGCAGTTCACTCGCTTCTTAGAGCTCATCGAATGGCGCTTAAAGCGCGAGGGCATCTCTGCAGCCACGGTCTTGGGGAGCATGCCCATCGTCTCCAGGACGCAGCAAGAGTCAAAGTGTAGAGAAGTGTAATGTGTGAAGGTGTCATTATCACCTGAACCTTCTAAGGAAACGGCCAGAACAAGCTGGGGGTATAAACGAAGTGGTGACATCCGGGTTCTGAGCTTCACATGACTTCCTGACTTTACCTAAATTCAACAACCTAAAATCGGTGTTCATCCACTCAAGGGCACCTTGTCACAGGTATCCCATCATGTCCCTGCGCCCCCTGCTGATGCCGCATGAGACATACAAACCAAACAAGAAACCAAAAGCAAAATAACATAGGGATAGATCCAGGCAGAGCCGGTGGATGGACATTTCAACATTTGCATTAAGGAGTGCATATGCACTGAGTAGTGGGCGGACCCACCTATAACTACACCGTTGGTCCGCCAAAGACGCGGGAAGTATACTAGGATCGATATGGAGATGCTCATTTGTGTAAGCTTGTGTGGAGGCACGATGCTGCAACAACCATTCTGACAAGATCATTCCACAATTTGGAAACCTATGTGTGCATATACATAGATTTATTAGATAAACTGGGTCTGTTAATTGCCCCCAATTAGATTGATCAGGGGGTCCTGAGTACCTTCTAAATCCTTCTAACATAGATTCCATTTTCATGTGCACGCATGCTTGCTGATAATCCTATGGCTCGAATTCTGCAGGTGTCCCAAAAAATGGGTCAGGTGTCAGGGATGAGGTGTCGATTAGACGCCCAACTGTTTTTGCTTTGGGGCGAGAGTCGAGGATTCAATTCTTTTTGCTGTAGCCTGCTGGTTTTGAAGGCATCAATTTTGGCATGTATGTTTGAGTAGATAGGAACATACGTTTGCATTTCTTGTGCAGAAACAGGGGTATATATATGTCCAGCTGCTGGTTCATGCAGTGGTGAGCTGCGTCACCAAAGGTGTAGTGCTATTGTGTAAACTTTACGCGTCTTTTATCAGCAAGGAGCTGCTGCTGTCCTGTAGCTACCTACGGCTTTTGCATCATGTAGCTACCTATCGCTCTATTTACTAAGATGTTCAGAACCACATACTTTGCTCATTGTTATTCTATGAAACGGCTTATCTTTTTGTATGTATACGGGGCTTGTTCGCGTTTTTCGTTTGGTACTTGTGAAGAGTGTCTTTTGTGTTTGCAGCGGGTTTGTTTAAGTTTTTGGATGTTTCTTTACTTGTGTGTTCTAGGCCTAGGCGGGTTGAATGCTGTTGGGCCGGGATATTTTAAAGGTAGTTTTTTGGGGGGTTGAATGGGCAGGCAGTTGTGTATTTCGAAGGTTTTTGAGCGGATGTTTTTTTGGCATGCTACCTCACTTTGGAGTCAAAGGCTAGAAACGCATTAGATGCTGCATCTAGTAACTACAAGTAGCTATGTAGCAACCAGCCCGGCCTTAAACTAAAAGTACTTTTGTTCATTTAACTAGTCAAGTCACAACAGGAGTGTTTTGTTTGCACTGTGATGACCTGATGTGTGGTAATGTCATATGGTGTTGTCGTGCTTGGGGTAGGAACGTGCACTGTTTTGGTGGACCTCTCTACTTTTTTGTGCTTATGCTTGTTTGCGCGTACTTTTCTATTCATAAAACATCAGTTCATCACCTTTCTCTAGAAAATTTACTTTTTCAGCACTTGTCCTAGGGAAACATCACCTTTTATGGGGGTGTTTATCTCTACAGCCCTTCATGTGAGGCAGCCCTGCCACCCACTACGATTAATATACATCCATCCATTGCAGAACTGAGAACCTATAGTTCTCAGAGCCCCTCTTCCTTCGCGAGGAACAATATCATTGTGTCTTTCCAGACAGAGCCAACGCTCAAAGTGCTCCTGATCTCCTTGAAAGCGGGAGGCCCGCCTCTTGAGATAGCGGAAGAATCGCTGCCGGAGGGTTTGATGGTTGGGCTGCATTGCCCACCTCGCTTCCCATTTGTCTCAGCGTTTGGCTTTTCAGGGTTTGTATCCTCCACTTCATGACTGAACTTGCTTCCTACAGCTTGGGATCTCACTTACTTTAGCGCTTTCCTAAATGTTTTGTCCAGACCCAATGCTTGAGTTGAGTGTCATGACCGATCTGTAGCCGTGTTTTGCGTTGATGTGTCCTTTTCTGAAAGGCGAAGGCCTCAACTTGCAGGCGGCAGATCATATCTTCCTCATGGATCCCTGGTCTTTCGGCCAACTTGACAACCTTTTCTTGGATCAAACGGGGTAGCATGAGGCCATCGCTATCAGGTTGGAGGCCGTTGCTGTTAGGTTGGAGCATGCCGCCCCTGAAATTTTAAGTCTTAAATAGTAGGGCATAGTGAAGATCTGAGACCTTCAGAAACACTTTTGCTGAAGGCTGAAGCACGCCTTTCAGCCAGACCTGATGCCCTCCAAAGGATTCTTGTGGGCAGCGTTGTTCCTAGTAGCGTCCTTGTTCCTAGTAGCGATGCCAGGAGCCCCTAGTAGCGATGCCCTTGTTCCTAGGAATCTGCGGAAACCTTGTCAAGCCAGGTGGAATCCTGCTGCCGAAGCTCAAGCGATCCAGCGTCGGATGCTTGTAGTCTTCATGTCAACGCTGTGCCCCCAGTGCAAATCTCAAAAATTAATGTCATCAGGTGCACACCGAATTGGACAAGTACGGCCAGTGAAAGCTCTTCGACTGGTGGCTGTCTTGAGCTTGGTTGTCAGTATGGACGACACACCATCAATCTGGCGAAAAGAAGGGAAAGACGGCCCGCAGGCCGCGTGAAAGTCTTCATTTTTCCGGTTGTGTTGGTGCGAAAAAGGAGAGATTGTAAGGGAGACTCTCGTTGAGGTCAGGGAGATTCTCCGGCAACATGTGTTGCGTTTTGGTGCCTGAGGCAGACACAATTGAGGAGAAGATCATCGAGCTGCAAGAGAAGAAACAAATGGTCTTCGACTGCACCGTGGGAAACAGCAATCAGGCTATGTGGCTATGCGTCGTTTCATTGTCTTGCGGCAGAGTAGCGTTCTCTTGCTTCAAGGCCTTGCAACGGCTTTCCGCGGAAGACATTTCTTTCCTCTTCAGCCTTCCCGGCCTGTTCAACTGTGCTTAGGGCTGAGAACGTTTTTTCCAAGCTTGAAAGCCTCATGACAAAAGGCAGAAAAAGGTGGACTTGTGCTCCTTTAATTAGATCTACTACAAGCCCTGAGGTACCAAAACAGAAAGCGCTTTCGCCAGATCTAAAGCAACCATTCTACGATTTTCCTGAGCCTATGCCCGTATGTCCAAGTGTGAAGTTCCGGATCCATATTCCATGGGGTTTCTTTGTGCAGTGGTGCTTTTGCCATAAAGAAGTGCTTTCATCAACTGCCAGGCAACTGAAGGGATTGCGGATGTGGGCAAAGCTCGCAGAGTGTCCTTCACGGAAGCGAATCCATAGTTTTTCAGAGCCATGTCAGACTAAGCCCGACAAACTGTGAGAATTGTAGTGAATGGAAAAGCTCTTGTGATTGTTAGTCTCTCTTCAAGAAAATTCGATGTGGACGAACGTGGGGTGTTCCAATTGACCCTGTCGGGTTGCCTGCAGAAGCTGATATGGCTGCCTGCGACGGCGTGGCGCGGGCGGGGGTTACAGTGGGGAGCTGGTAGCTGCCTAACTGTGAAAAGTGGCCATTGCAAAGAAACTAACAAATTGAAACATAGCAACCAAGAAACACCTGAGAAAGGTCTGATTGCATAAAGGCAGAAAGAAAAAAGACAAAAGGAAGAAAGAAAAAACGTTTTGACTCTCTAAGGAAAGAGAGGTCCAAAGGATGAGGTTGAACTACCCATTGCTACTACAAACGGCAAGAGTTATTTGGTTTAGACCTATGATAACCTTTGATGACCTTTGGACCCTTTTGCTTTCTTTATTATCTTTTTGCTTACGGCTTCAGTCACTTCGCTCACTTCGGTCTCTGACTTCACCTGTCGCTTTCACAAACGCTTTAGACGTGTATGGTCTCGGGTTCAGGTTATTCAAGCTTGAGACGTTGAGACTTGTCGCAGACGGATGATGAACTGCGTTTGCTCGGATCATTTGTTGCAATCAGTTTGGCTCAAACCTGGATTGACCAGGGCGAGTGATAGGTTCGGCCTGCGCCAATGGAGCAGCGGCCCTGCCAGCAAGGGCGCCTAGGGTCGAACCGCGTGGGTCATTCGCCGATTCAGGAACTAAAGAATGCTCCCAGTAGCGATGCCAGGAGCCCCCAGTAGCGCCCTTGCTCCTAGTAGTAAGGCCAGGAGCCCCTAGGCCCTAGTAGCTTCTTAATTTATAGACATAAGTGACATACAACAAAGAATATTTATAGCATATGGCTGGAAAGGGGTTCTGGTTGCCAAATCAACGCTCTTGGTTGCCGAATCAGAGGGTTTTTATCGAGTCATGGTTCCCGAATCCTCTTGGTTATTGAATCAGACGTTGACCAATCGCGTGCTTCATGAAGCAGCAGATGCGCTGGCTCTGAGGTATGACAGAAACCACTCAGGCAAGTGGGTTGAGCAAGGACTGTCACGATGCCATGGAATGCCGATTTTATCACTGTTTAAATACACTCGCATTGTGGAATGGACATCGTGCTCCTTGCGATTTTGAAGCAAGATTGTTTACAAAGTTCAGTGTTGTTGCCCCAATTGTAGGAGGTTAACAATAGGCAGAAGAAGCCTTCTTGAACCTTTGCATCCCTGAAGTGCTTGCATGGGCTCCGGCTAGACTCTGGTCAGCTGCATCTCTTAGGCATTTTTCGCACACACCAAGTACAGACCCATAAGCTTCACCACTTTCTCAGTCTCAAGAACAAAGGGCATCGCTACTAGGAGCAAGAACGGTACTAGGGGCTCCTGGCCGTACTA